CTAATTGTATTGACGTTGAATGTCCAGTATACTCAACTCTATTATAAACATTGCAGTATATTATAGGATATGCATGTAGACTGTTATCGACGTAATAAATCGATTCAAACGAAGTCAGGAAGAATAATTGTAACATCGTAGAACGTTTAACATGCAATTTAAATAACAATTGAATACGAATAAAGTGCACTTTTCTGTATCGTTTGTCCTTCTCGCATTTATTTTCTCACTATCCCGAAGAAAGATCCAACTTATTCCAGTTTCATTCGAGTCAAAGAATTATTTTTATGTTTTAGATTATCCTAATTATTCCTCGAATTAAAACCCTTTGCGGACTACCGGCGCGTATATGCGTCGGACGTTTGGTCCAATATTGCCTGCACGTGTTCACGAATTTCGCCCATATGTCGAAAGAGCTCCGTCCTCAAAGGGTTAACAAAATATTTCTTTGGGTCGATGGTACTTTTTTTTTTCTTCTTCTCAGGGTAGAAAGCGATTTTGTTCATTCAGTCGAGGTGTTCAGAGATTATGTTAACGTCATATCTTTGATAAAAACGTAATTCCTCCCCTGCTTCCTGGATTTTCTAACTCGACCCGAATCGATTTGACATCGGTTCGATAACAGCTGATGTTTCGACATCCGATTACGTGATCCCACGTGATAGGCACTTATTTCACCTCGATCGGATCTTCCGATGCGTTTTTTACGTCCTCTCTCTCTCTCCCTCCACACATTGGATTCCGCGTTTTCCCATGATTTCTCCGACGATTTTCACGATGCAATTTCCACCATGAAATTGCCTCCTTAACTCGACGTCAATTTTCTTCCGATTAAGGTCTGACCGGTTTTGCGAAAATTTTTTCCAATTCTTCAAATATACAATAATGTGTAAACACACGTTTTTGGTCATATCATAAATGAAAGATTTTGGACTGTATCAATGTTTTAATTCCATGTGAAAATTGCAAGTGTCGGCTTAATTGATTTTTTTTTATTCATTATCAAATGATCCTGAAGATTTTTTAACCCTTTGTCTATTAAGAGCGCCTAAAGGCGCCCGACGTTTGGTCCAATATTGCCTGCACGGTCAGAGGAATTTCGCCCTTATGTCGAAATGGCTCTGTGTTCAAAGGGTTAACGGAGAAAATGGTTAGACACTTTTAAGGCTTCCATGTTAGATAATAGGAAATGTTTGACTTCACTCATTTCGTCTTACAATACGGAACGTTTTATGCACTGCTAGGAAATAATCAATAATCAGTAAATAAACGGAGAGTATTTGTTAATATTCACTCCCTGAAATCATATAATAAGTGAAGAAATTATTCCTAACTATTTTCGGATCCATCTGCGTAAAAACAAATGCCCTGAAAAAATTGATAAATTTATTAGAATGAATATTTCTGTATATTTCCGAAATATTCATTCTAATAAGTCCGAAAATTATCTGTAATAATTTTCGGATCATTTTCATAACGCCTGCGCGAAGAGGAGGGCGTCGGAAAAATTGGTAGAATCGTAAAAATTCGTAATCATTAAAATGATTAGAAATGTCGGGAACAAACGGCGAGTGTTCGCCTTCACCCACTTCCCAGAATAGGACACTCGGATGGATATTAATTATTCCTAACGACAATCGGTTTTATAATTAGTCCCCTTTGATCCTGGCACCGATTGCGCGTTTTCTATTTCAACTTAAAATGACCGAGGTCCATTTGATCGGCGATCGGCGCTAATGATGCCCAGTTAAAATTACCATAAATTTCTGACCCTAACGACCAGGTTTCGCGACCGGAAGTCGATCGATGCCAATTAGAGGGTCCTCTATCGGCGAAGCGAATCCAAGGATTGATGTCGAGTGTCCCCGGGATTTTGGAACGGGTCCAGATTCTGATTAACGTAGACTGTTAATAATTTATACGAGAGGCGCATTCCGAGTTGGTGACTGGACTTCGTTTCCGTGAGGAACGCCTCCTCGAGTACGTCGACCGAGCTTTTGCGAAATCCTTTGTGATCCACGTCAACCGGAAACAAAGAGGAGATTATAACGAGGAAAAGGAAATTTATTTAACCTGAGAAATATTTCTTCGAACGNTTATTACGCAAACTGTGGTTACTTCTTCTTTTCTATGATATGTGTACTTGCCAAATGAAATATATAAATAAAATGTAAAATTGAAATATGACGTTAGTAGTTTAGAGAGGATCATGTTCGAGGAATTGAAGGCTGGTGTATGATAAGGACCCTGTAATTGCTCTTTAAAAATGAAAATATTCGCTCTTAATATTTTTATATTAATTTATCTTCACGAGGTTAATGGCATTCCGCAATCGAGACGATGTTTCAAATGTTGGAACAATTGTTTATTTACACTTCCTGGTAAAAGACGGACCCATTTCCGGCGTATCGACCCCTCTCGCTATGTCGACGCTAATTTTAGGTACAAAGTCTGGCGAAATGATTTTCGAAAAGAGCGATTGCTTCAACTCGTACATCTTCGACATGTTTTTATCAGCTTACTCGAAGTGTAATCTTCGGGGGGAAAAAAAAAGAAAAAGCGACCTCGAGTGCTTTAAATTAAAAGGAAGCAGACATTAAATCAACCGGTTTCTATTTTTGCACCGGCAGAGAGCAGGGCTTATTTCAACATTTTCTTTTTATCCGCAAATAGTACTCGTAAAGAATAATTGCTAAACGAAGCAAGACGCGATATTTTGCGCCTTAAATTTAGGAACTCGTAATAAGTTCCCTCGCCATTTCCTCGCTCAATGGCGCATCTTATAAGCTGCTAAAAATATCTCGGAAATTTAAACAATACTCCCGAGACTGTTTTCGAGGACGTCCTGTGTGTTCTCGAGAACTTCGTTTTCCTTTGAATCTCCAACTCTCAAAAGAGACGCCTAGAAAATCCCGACTTTTCTTATTTTTCTCCATTTTTAATTTAAGAGGACGTGAAAGTGGCATCCGTAAGTTCAATTGTTCATGAAACTTTTCTATGAACTGGGTGGTACCGAATCGTTTCAAATTTTACCACGTGAATATGGAGGCCCTAGGGTAGGTCCTGAAACTCATGAAATTTCATTTTCTATCAAAATTTCATTTTTGATCAAAATTTGATTTTCTTATCATGGACTAGATAGAGCCAACATGGCGTGGTCCAGGCACGTCCGAAAATAATTTTTATCCGGCGAGCAGATTCAATGTCAATGTCGAGCCTCGGGGACAAAGGGACGATTGCGCAATTACACTCGGCAATGAGAATAATGGTCGAATTACTCTGCAGAGCCGGACGCGAGTGAGCAAAAACTGGATCGGTCGTTCCATTCGATCAGTCCTTGCGATGCAACCGAAGACTCGACATTGTTCCTCGAGAGTCTCAATTTGCCCGGAAAGTCATTTTTCATTTTTTTTTAAATTATCTTCGGGATCCACCGTAGTGATGCCACGGGTCGGTTATTTCAATTTAATTTCGAGTTGAGGTGATATGAAAGGGTCATTCTATACACATCAAACGTGAAAATGTTTATTAAACTTTTATTAAATTTTTACTTTTGTAATTTAATTATTATACTTTTCTACGAACTGGGTGCATCGAATCAGTCACTTCAACACGTGATTATGGAGGCCCTAAGGAAAAACGTGGTGCCCGTGGTTTCATTTTTCCAAAAAAAAAAAAAATATATATAATAGTAACTATTTTAACGTTTCATATATATAGAGTGACCCATTCATATCACCTTATACAAACGATTTAACCTTTTGGCTACTAAGAGCGCCTAAAGGCGTCCGACGTTTGGTCCAATATTGCCTGCACGGTCAGGGGAATTTCGCCCTTATGTCGAAATGGCTCCGTGGTTCAAGGGTTAAATCATCTTAACCCTATCACCAGTCTAGGGACTACCCAGGGCGTGCGTGTATCCAGTTTGCAGAAAAGTTTCATAACTATTTTAACATTTCATATATATAGAGTGACCCTTTCATATCACCTTAAATCATCTTAACCCTATCACTAGTCCCGGGGCGTCCCAGGGCGTGCGCGCGTTAACGAGTGCGAAAATAGTTCCCAAAGCCGGTCACGAGAGTGGACCCCTCGCCAAGGAAAGCTCTTTAGTTTGCGCCTGGAAGCTGGATGGCCGGGAACGAGCTCTTCGTGGTCGTGAGTTTCGCCCTCAGGTTCCCGAAGCACTTTTTCGAGTACCTGAAATGAAGAGTGAAAGGGCTTTTAATCATTAATCCGAGTAACCTGGGGCGGCTGGACATACTGAGTGAGCGGTTGAAGAGTGTGTCGGAAACTGAGTACCTGAAGTTTGGTACCCGAATCGAGGAAGAAGTTGAGGGGGGATCTTTTTAAGGTGCTGGGGAAATTTAGGGAATTTGGGAGTAAAGGGGAAAGAAAGATGGCGGAAGTGAATTGGAGATTCGGTGCCTGAAGAATTGCTGGTACCTGGATAAGTGCTGGTACCTGAATAAGTGTTGGTACCTGAATAAGTGCTGGTACCTGAATGGAAGAACAAGGTTGAGGAGGGACTTTTTTGAGGTGGAAACGTCCTTGGAAAAGGTTGTTAGCGAGAGTGCTCTTCAGGTACCTAAAATGAGAAATAATGATATTAAAGGCAGATTTTAACAGAGAGGTTAAAGAAGGTTCAGTATTATGAACATTTTACAAAAGAGGTGGTCAACAAGAATTTGTTGATGATCAGCTGGCAGATTTTAGGTGCCTAAAATGAGGAACAAGTCAAGGGAGATCTTGTAGCCATTAAAAGCAAACTTGAAGAAGCTGAAAACTCCGTAAAAATAAAAAAACACCGCCAAGAGTGCGTTTAACTACGTCTTATACATCTTATATACGTCTTGGATATATATGTACGTAATATATATGTCTTAAGTAATACCAGGAGGAATCTTATCAGTGTTTTTCTTGCTCGGAGTGGTTTAGAGAGGATCATGTTCGAGGAATTGAAGGCTGGTGTATGATGCACCCTTGAAGTACCTCGATGAGGTAATTAGCAGCAGAAGATTGAACTCTTCCGGGCTGAGAATTAATAACGAATCGTGATTATTAACCTTGAGTCTTCCCGATAAAACCACTGAGAGGTAACCATCTTTACGAAAAAAATGGCTCTTCAGGGTCGACGACCTCGAAGAAGATGGCCGAAGAGGTTCAACGACTGATAACTCATGAAGAACGCGAATGCTTCTGACAATAGGGCGAAAAAGAGAACATCGCCACTTTACTTTCTTTTTCTTTTCTTTACATTGTCTTACAGTTTTTCCAACGCTTGACTTTTGAACTCACGTATCAGCTGATCCAAGGCACTGACTCTGATTCATCGAACTCCAATTTTAGCCAAGCTGCGTCGCAACCAAAGCACCTCTTCAGGGTTACAGAGCCTCCTGGAGATAAAAGAAAAAACGCAAAAAATTACGAATCAGGGAACTGAAAATTAAGAATAACGCAAAAGGAGCGGAAAAAAGAAATGGGGCACTCGAGCGATATTTCTCGTTACTTTCGCCCCATCAGTGGTTTAACGAATGACGAAGAGTCATAAAGGATCAATTAATTTTCTAATTAGCGAAGGTCAGCTGGTGACCTCGTCCTGGCGAATTAACTCATTAGTCCGAACCTGGCAAGGCTTCATTAAGACTCTAACTTGTCGGCACTTTAATTAGTATATCTCCTGCATTTACATACCCGTAATGAAAATACACTCCCGAGGCATTTTCCTGACCTCAAGTTAATCGCATAAATCCGTAATATTTAATGAACAAATTAGTGCGACCTCGAAGACAAAAAGGGGTCGATCGAATTCTCTCCCTTCAATCGAAGCTCGGTATTCTGATCCTAAATTGCGACCTCGATTTATCTTTCCCTTTAAGTCAGGCATCGACCTCGACCTCCCATACCCTAGAAATTATTTCTGAATTGATAATACGTCTAATGATTTTATATCTGGATTTAATAATCGACATATTTCGAGGCTATTTGATGACCTTAATTTTAGCCTTGAAATCGGGACTACCTTAATGTTTAGATCTTTAGATCAAGGCAATTCCCGATGCATCATCGAATTACGAGTTACGTGACGACCTCGACCTCGACCTCGACCAAATTATTTAAGCGGCAAATCACCTCCAACGGCAACTGGACTTTTAATGCGTCGTCGAGTTGCGAATTAACCTGATGACCTCGACCTCGTCCTAGAGCTCGACCTCGACCTCTGTCAAAATATTTAAACCCCAAACCACCTCCAAAAGCAGTGGGACTTTTAACGCGTCGTCGAGTTGCGAATCGATGAGTTGACCTCGACCTCGATTTCAAATATTAAAACCCCAAATCACCTTCAAAGGCAGTGGGACCTTTAATGTGTCGTCGAGTTGCGAATTCACGGATCGATTTTGATCGAAAGATCCAAAGTTCTCAATACGAGACCTCTAATGCCTCTGTCCGACCTTAAGTCATCGACCTCGGTGGTCCACCCCCGGAGTCCCCTCCCTCCTCCTCGTCGAAGAGGGCCCCCCGAGGACCCGACGATGACCGACTCCACGAGCGAGTGTCCGTCGATGGTCGACGTCTGCGACCTCGACAACGAGGTCGACCTCGGTGACCGACGTCGAGGTCGCCATCCGGAAGTCGACGCTATGGCCAGGCGGATGGGCGTTTCGCGGATCTTTAACCGGAAGTCGATGACCTGGGCACGGGATACTCTCGAGAGGCTGCCTATCAAACTGACCTTGGCCAATCTTGGGATCGTGGCCTTGACCCTGGCGATCCTGATGCCGAGGTCGCTCACTTATCTCCTCATCTATCCGATTTTCAGATTGGTCTTTGGCACCCTCTACCCCGCCTATGCCTCCTACAAGGCCATTAGGACGAAGAACGTCAAGGAATACGTGAGTACCTGAAGAGAGGCGAATTTATTCACTGGGAATGGAAAATTTTTATTTATTTTTTTTTCATTACGCTCTTATTTTATCTTTTTATTTTATACATTATGGACGAAGTACGTTTTATTATATATATACAGGACGAAGAACGTCAAGGAATACGTGAGTACCTGAAGAGAGGCGAATTTATTCACGCGGAATGGAAAATTTAACTATTTTAACATTTCATATATATAGAGTGACCCATTCATATCACCTTATACAAACGATTTAACCTTTTGGCTACTAAGAGCGCCTAAAGGCGTCCGACGTTTGGTCCAATATTGCCTGCACGGTCAGGGGAATTTCGCCCTTATGTCGAAATGGCTCCGTGGTTCAAGGGTTAAATCATCTTAACCCTATCACCAGTCTAGGGACTACCCAGGGCGTGCGTGTATCCAGTTTGCAGAAAAGTTTCATAACTATTTTAACATTTCATATATATAGAGTGACCCTTTCATATCACCTTAAATCATCTTAACCCTATCACTAGTCCCGGGGCGTCCCAGGGCGTGCGCGCGTTAACGAGTGCGAAAATAGTTCCCAAAGCCGGTCACGAGAGTGGACCCCTCGCCAAGGAAAGCTCTTTAGTTTGCGCCTGGAAGCTGGATGGCCGGGAACGAGCTCTTCGTGGTCGTGAGTTTCGCCCTCAGGTTCCCGAAGCACTTTTTCGAGTACCTGAAATGAAGAGTGAAAGGGCTTTTAATCATTAATCCGAGTAACCTGGGGCGGCTGGACATACTGAGTGAGCGGTTGAAGAGTGTGTCGGAAACTGAGTACCTGAAGTTTGGTACCCGAATCGAGGAAGAAGTTGAGGGGGGATCTTTTTAAGGTGCTGGGGAAATTTAGGGAATTTGGGAGTAAAGGGGAAAGAAAGATGGCGGAAGTGAATTGGAGATTCGGTGCCTGAAGAATTGCTGGTACCTGGATAAGTGCTGGTACCTGAATAAGTGTTGGTACCTGAATAAGTGCTGGTACCTGAATGGAAGAACAAGGTTGAGGAGGGACTTTTTTGAGGTGGAAACGTCCTTGGAAAAGGTTGTTAGCGAGAGTGCTCTTCAGGTACCTAAAATGAGAAATAATGATATTAAAGGCAGATTTTAACAGAGAGGTTAAAGAAGGTTCAGTATTATGAACATTTTACAAAAGAGGTGGTCAACAAGAATTTGTTGATGATCAGCTGGCAGATTTTAGGTGCCTAAAATGAGGAACAAGTCAAGGGAGATCTTGTAGCCATTAAAAGCAAACTTGAAGAAGCTGAAAACTCCGTAAAAATAAAAAAACACCGCCAAGAGTGCGTTTAACTACGTCTTATACATCTTATATACGTCTTGGATATATATGTACGTAATATATATGTCTTAAGTAATACCAGGAGGAATCTTATCAGTGTTTTTCTTGCTCGGAGTGGTTTAGAGAGGATCATGTTCGAGGAATTGAAGGCTGGTGTATGATGCACCCTTGAAGTACCTCGATGAGNATAAATTAAGGGTCATTTAAGGTGATATGAATGTGTGGTGTATGTACGTATGAAAAAGTCAAGATATTTATAAAACTTTTTTTCAAACTGGGTGAATCGAATTATCTGAAACTTTGAAACGTGATTATGGAGGCCCTTAGGAATAACCCGCTGCTCGTGAAATTTCCTTTTTTCAAGATATAATTTTCTACTTATCTCGGACAAGAACCAAAAAATGATTTTCTGTTGTTTCTTTTTTTTTTTTTTTCGAAAAATGAAATTTCACGGGCAGCGCGTTCTTCTTAGAGCCTCCATAATCACGTGTTAAAGTTTTAAATAATTGGGTGCACCCAGTTTGGAGAAATGTTTTATAAATATTTTGACTTTCATATCACCTTAATTTCTACACCATGATTCTGAATTAATTATTTTACCTGTCAAGTATATTAGTTATTACGCAAACTGTGGTTACTTCTTCTTTTCTATGATATGTGTACTTGCCAAATGAAATATATAAATAAAATGTAAAATTGAAATATGACGTTAATAGAACTTCCGTAAAAATGTTACAAGATTGGGATATTTTATTAACGTTGTATTAGACCGATCGTGATTTTGAAGGTGACGAATGCCATTTTGTTACCTTCAATTGGCTTTTCGGTCGGCTGAGTCGATGTAATTTGATTTTTAATTTCCAGGTAAAATGGATGATGTACTGGATCGTATTTGCACTCTTCTCCTCGGCGGAGACCTTCACGGACGTCTTCTTCAGTTTTTGGTAAGGATTCAAGGCTTTTTCGCCATCTTTATTTATTTTTTTCTTTCAACGTCCTCCCTTTTCGGTCCACATATAGTGCCATTGACCAACGTCCCGCCTCGGTACACGTTATTAAATGTTGCAATATCCTTTTGTCGTGTTGCGTGTAATTATGTAAAGAGATTTGCTGGCAAGGAGGTCGAAACTTTCTGAGTGGTGAGCATCTATCCAATAAATCAAGTTTCCTCAGAGTATCAATATAGGAAGATGATGATTCATTGAAATGATAAGACCGAAGACACAAAGGCACTATTTTTTGTGTATTTATTAGCAATTACAATTCTCTGTTAAATTTTATACATTTTATTTGCGTATAATTATGTAATGAGATATTTGCTGGCAAGGAACTCCAACATACACGCATATCGCGTGTCATTAATAATTGAAATATGAAGGGAATAGTATTTTTTACTATCACGAAGTTCATAGATAAATCGATGAAATTAATATCGAGATTGCCCTAAAAAATGAGTAAAAAAATGCCCTGACTCGCAAGATCAAAGGGAATTATTTTTTCTATATTTTTTTTTTCTTTAAATACACGTTTATCGCGCGTCATTAATAATTGAAATATGAAGGGAGGAGTATTTATCTCAAGAGGGGCCTTTTGAAAAGGGATCGCGTTTGGGTCATTTGGGCGGTCGGCGATCGTTTCTTTGTGCACTTTTCTTTGTCCGAATCCTATTTCCGTCCCGGATGCCTTCCTCGGGGAGCATTCGGCCGAAGCCGAGGATTCTCCGTAGGAAGGCAGGGTGAAAGTTTGCGGAGGGACCATAAATAACGCGAGATGCTTCCTTTTTGGTGTAATCCGAGCACCCGGGTGCCGGGGCTTTCTGGCACGGAAGTCTTCCTCGAGGGGTCTGCCAGGAAGATGGAGAGAGATACGGAGAGAGGGAGAGAAAGGGAGAGACGGTTTCGCGGTCCGGGAGAATCCTCAAGAGTGAACCCAAGCCTCGTATCTATGTCGCCCGAAATTAGACTTTAGGAATTCTCCATTGGCCGGGAGAAGCTGCATCGTGGAAGCAGGTTGCTACCCACGGAAGATGATATCCGACCAGGGTTGATCGAGATCATGGTTTCTTTGAAAAAAGAAATGAGACAGTGCGGATTTCTTTTTAATTAGAAAGACCAGTCAAAAATGTCTTCTTTGGGGCTCATCTGTGGGGATGTCATTCCCTCCTTAAGGTGATATGATTGAAACTTCAGCACGTAATCATGAACGACCTTAAGGAAGTAACTGCTCGTGAAATTTAATTTTTCACAAAAAAAAAAATGTGATCTTGGTTCTAGTTCAGGTCAAATAAAAAAGAATTTTTCTTGAATAATGAAATTTCACGAGCATCGCGTTCTTCCTTAGGGCTTTCATAACCACGTGGTGAAGAATGATTCGATGCACCCAGCTTGGAGATCAGTTTTATCAATATTTTCACTTTCTGTTATGTATATACCACACTTTCATATCACCTTAAATAAACGATTTAACCCTTTGGTTACTAAGAGCGCCTAAAGGCGCCCGACGTTTGGTCCAATATTCCCTGCACGGTCAGAGGAATTTCGCCCATGTGTCAAAACGGCTCCGTGCTCAACGGGTTAACGGCGACTTCAATGCGATACAAAAATAGAAACACCTTGTAATCGAGATTTAACGGAGGTTTTCCTCTACACTGCGAAAATGAAAATCCATTTAACCAGAGAAATATATTATTTAACCTTTTGGCTACTAAGAGCGCCTAAAGGCGCCCGACGTTTGGTCCAATATTCCCTGCACGGTCAGAGGAATTTCGCCCATATGTCGAAATGGCTCCGTGTTCAAGGGTTAAATGTCTCTTTTTTTCCGTCCAGGTTCCCGTTCTACTATGAGATCAAGATCATCCTGGTGCTCTGGCTTCTGAGTCCTGCGACGAAAGGCTCCAGCATCCTTTATCGGAGATTCGTACATCCGGCCTTGGTGCGCAGAGAAGCGGAAATTGACGAAGCCCTTACACGTGCTACCGAACAGGGGTACACTGCGGTGTTACACCTGGGCACCAAGGGTGTCAATTATGCCACCACGGTGCTGATGCAGACGGCGATCAAGGTAATTTTCTCGGCATGGCACGTACACGCAGGCTGCAATTCATAATGACAGTCAGTTTACAAATGCGATTTAAATTATGCGGGATTTCAATTATAAATATTTATCTGCAAAGCTTAATCCGACGTGTCAGGTTGGATAAATAATTTTTTTTTTCTTTCCCGGAATTGCTAACTGTAATTGAAAATGTTAAACGTCAATTGATTGTGAATTAAGGTGAGAATCGGGCCTAGGGATTTATTTCAGGGCCGTGATAGATAAAAAAGATGTCGCCACTGTTTCTTCGTCCTGTCTTGAAAGTCAATGGACAGTCATGAATACCCTTAACGAATGTATAATACAGCAGGAAGTAATTAGATTTCCTACGAAACTATCAATTGGACTAGGCACGCTGGAAGGGAGTCTTTTTGCAGGAAGTTGTCAAATTAAATTTCCGTTTAATGCCTGACCTCCCTCAACTGCAAAGACGGAGATTTCGAGTCTTAGTCAAACTCTGCGTACGGATCTCTAATTAAATAGATCTTCACCACTTCTGAATGTCATTTATGAATTGCAGCTGTAGCATTAGCATTTCATGTTCAACATTCGACTTAATGTATTTCATGAATCTTTTTTTTTATATATATAATGCTTTAGTAGTAACGTCTGCTGCTTAGTGCAAATTTGCAGATTTCTGTTGGATTCTGGCTTTGGATCTGCAGGGTATCATTTGCGATTACCTCAAGGTAGAAGTCTCGGACTAATTTCATAATCGTTCGTTCATTTTTCTTCAACTCGATGGTAGTTAAGAAATTGTCCTGCGGTAATTTTTCATGCAAAATCTCAAATCATACTATATATTTATATATATACTGCAGGAAATGAAAAATCTTGTTATTAGGGTTTGTCAATAATGAAACATGTTCAACATCTGACCTTCCACCTTAGAGTAATGAAATGTGTAAACGTTATTATTATTTTTTTTAATATTTTCAATTCAGTTACGCTATTTAGTTCTCTACGTCTTTTATATTCATTTATTTCCTCCGCACATTTTGTTTGCACTTACACCGTTAATAATATTCATGAAATCCATACGCTTTTAAGGTGGTATGTTTGTAGGTAGGTAAAATTATCCACATATAAGGTACTACAAATTTAATATAAATTTAATATAAACAGATAATCGTACATGTTACCAGCTTACAAAATTGCACATTAGTAGCATTACACATATCTCCGAGATTTGTAATGCATATTACACGTTTTTTTTTTTTTTTGAGAACATGACAAAGCTTCCGCCGAAAACGTCATAAAATTACGATATTACATTTAAACGGTGTACATTTTGAGCATGTCCACACAAACATGCCAGACATTCATCAGATATCTGTCAGACCAGGAGCGTTTCAGAATGAGTATAAATTTAATCATGTAACGGAAATCTTAAAAAAAAAAAAAGGGAATAAGGAATGACAAGTCGGAGCAAACCATTAAAAAGATCCAGGCTTAACATTCCATGGAAAATGTTGAATTTTAAGGTGAAGTGAAACCTCCCACTCAAATCAGTTGATTCGAATAAGAAACTTTTTTCTTTTAAGGGTACCTTTTAGGGAAAGTTTAGCACATGACTCGTCAGCACCTAGGAATTATCCCGACACTTTTAAAATTTGGACTTTTAGAAAGAATTTTTTTACTTAGCGCAGACCAGGAAACAAATGACGTCGAGCTCTCATATTTCGATCGATATCCAATTATTGAAGGGTCTGATATGAGAAACGAAAGTATCAGTACAATTGTACGACAATTTAGAACACTGGTAATCGAAGAAACTCGCATTTGAACGGGATAAAGGCAAAAAAAGTGTCTTTTTCGCTGTTATGCTAAAACGATGGTAATGAGGTCTCGGAGTGAAAATTTAGTTGACATGAAAATCACAGATGGCGCAGGGTGTCCCTCTGCAGTCCATTAGGGCCTCGGGAACCACGAATCCAGGGGGTTTCTGGAGTTTTACATCGATTTCTTTACAATTATTGTGCGATAACGACACATAGAGTATGCCATTTAGTACAATACTGAATATAGTTCGAGACAACTGTCGATATAAAAACGAAGGTCGGCAACGTAGGTATTTAGAAGAACCTTTTTCACCGATGTCGATCAAGTTCCTCGGCGTGTTTCACTTCACCTTAAGCGTATCAGGAACAGGTGCTGTAGAAACAAAGTGCCACATTAATGTAATATATTCATGTAATTTACATCAGGTATGGAATATGTAAAGTAAAATACCTAGTAATGGTTATGTTACTTACCCGACCCTGGCCAGACATCTAGTTTGCGAACTTACGTTTGTTCCCCCGTGAGATCCGTTACTTGGTTAAGTGCTTATTGTTGTAATTCTGAAATGAACCTCCGCCCGCTTAGAGCAGACCTGCTGCTAAAGTTAGGCCAAAATCCCGTGGCTCCCGTGCACCTAACCTAACCTTCCAAGCTCACCCCCGCGGGCCACGCACCGCCTAAGGCAGCCGCACGCAACCGAACTAATTCATTTTACGTTTATTTATTTCCACCTCCCGCGCCGATCGCCAACTGGCCGCACACGATCCTGGACCTCCGATTGTGGACCCGCCTGAAAACTCCGCCGGCGGCGACCTAACCCCATCTCGCTCACTCACCCGCTCGCCCGCATCGCTCTCGCTCGCTCTCTCATCCGCCGCGCGTGGCCCCGAGCGCCACCGTCGCGGGTCACGTGACCCGGCGTACGCGCGAGGCCGCCCGACGTCACCCGACTTCGCCCGACGGCAGAACCTCCCGAGTGCAGTCCCGATCACCCTCACTGCCCTCCCCGCCAGCCAATCAGACTCGGCGATTTCTAGCTTAGCCAACCGCAGTGCGTCACGGGAGACCGAGACGCCACCTGGGACCGACAGCCCGGATGCGCAGGCGCAGCCCAAGGCGACCCCGCAGGACTATAAAAGGCGCACTAGGAGCGAGACCTGGTCAGTCGACGCGGAGACGCGAGACGAAGCGGACGCGAGGTCTGCTCTCCTGGCCGACCTCTCCACTGATGAGGACGAGGAGAGTCCCGAGGGCGTCCAGGAGAATGACCAGAATTTCAAGGTCCCCGACGAGAAACCACAGAAGGCCAAAAAGGACGGACGGAGGACTAGGGTCAAGAACAGGAAGGCCGTTGTGAAGAACTTCGACCCCGAGTTTAGCGACGATCCTACTGTCGAGTAGATTTTGTCGGGGATGATCGGAGAATGTTTTGGGGAGTTAATTTAAATGCGAGTCGAGCTGTCGCGACCTCGGCAACCTCAAATTAGAGGATTTTTGAGGTTAGGCAGTCGGGACTTGCTGGTTTTGTCCGTCGAGGGGGAGTTTTGATTGTTTTCTTGAGGACTGTTTTATGCCTGGAGTATTGTTTTAGGGGTTTGCGGATTGAGAATGAAGTTTCAAGGGGAGGTTCAGAGCTTAGAGGCGCGTTAGGGACAGCTAACGCTCGTCTTAGAAGTGCGCACCTCTTCCATCGCGAGTTCCACTATTAGTAAATACATTCCTCTTAAGGAAGTATTTGGCATGAAATTGTAAAATATAAGCAATGAGCGATGATTTGTACAAATGTCTGGAAAATTTTCGAAACCGGGTTTTTTTTTTTTTATAGAGATGTATGCGATTATTGACGTTGTCGAATCGAGAATAACTTTTCGCGAGGAAGTTGGAAGTTCCGACGTTGAGGGTCGCCACTGGCGCGTTAGGGGCAGCTAACGCTCGCTTCGAAGTGCGTCACTGTTCCATCTCGGGTTCCACTATTAGTAGAACATTGTTCCTCGCAAAAAGTCTTTGGCGTGAAATTGTAAAATACAAACAATGTGCGACGGTTTATAGAAAAATCTTATAGGCTCTAAAGTAGGTTTCTCAAGGAGATGTAAAAGGATATTGTACGTTTTGGGAAGATTCCTTGTTCTAAACCAGATGGCAGCTCAATCGTCTCTGGCCGGGATTCCCTGGCTAGGAACTCCGTTTCAAGGGACGCAGGTTATTGCATAAATCACATCTCAAGCCATGTCGTTAATATTTACCAGGGATTTTCGACAATGGCCGGATAGTTTCCTCTGTCACCGCCAGAAGCGTTGTCGGCGCTGGCGCGCTGCTCAAATCTTCGATTCTTCAATCCTAAAACAGATTTATCGATGCAAACGGTACATTACATCTATCAAGTGTATCGAAAGGGAATTTCCACTAGCAGGTTTTAGAAACAGCTTAATTTATCCCTATTCTTTTAAGGTTAAGATTCAATCTCGAGCCATCTTAAGCACTACATGCTTCAGGTTCCAATATTGAGAAAGCAAGTACCTAGACTGAATTACAGCTCTCAAAGACAAAGATAGGGATCCAAATCGGAGAAAATCGGCAGGAGAGTCCCAAAGTTAACTTAATCCCTCGATTAATATGCCATCTAGGGAATTTATAAAATACAAAATCCTGAAATCAACGAGGAGGAAGAGAGAGCCAAGGGGGTTTCGGAAACAGTTGAGGAAAGCCTTAATGGATGAGACCAATCGCAAAGAATTATTTAACTTGGACTTTGTTTTTTAAGGTTATCTCTCCTATCCTCTCTTCGTCTCTTTTCGATCCACCTGTTATCGGCATACCTGTCTCTCGAAACGGGCAAACGTGTGATTTTTTTAGAAAGCGACGTCACCAGATCGCGATCTTATCCTTTTCTTGTGTGTAAGTTACCGATATATCTCGAGACAGTTGACCGATCGATCGCTGTTTTTCTTTTTTTTTTAATTTTTTTTTCATCCGATGGACAGAAATCACGATCGTATTGTTGCACGAAATGTAATGCAAAAGTGACGTTCAAATGGTCTTGTTTATGAAATTTGTCTCTGGATTGAATGTACCTAATCGTTAGAAACTTACCCTGAGAATATTGAGGTCCTATAAAAAATCTTGACACCCATGAAGGTTAATTTTTTAAAATTTGTTTCTAAACATTATATAAAAATGACATTTTAAAGGTGTCACATGGTCAAGCTGGAAACAATTCGGTACACTCAGTTCAGAGAAAAAAAATTCATAAATAATTACGTCCTCGGATGGCACTTTCATGTCACCTTAAGGTGATATATTTAATTAACAATTTTTACAAAATTTCGTAGAAAAAAAATGAAATTTTTCTGGGTGCAAGGCCTTTCGTGGAGCCTCCACATTCACGTGATGAAATGTCAAACGATTCGATGAAAACTTTCATAATTCACCTGATCCCATATATACAACTTTCATATCGCCTTAATGTCCTCGTGCAACAAATCCATCTTGAACTCAGCTTAGAAAGTACGCCCTGAATTTTATTTATAAAACTAGAAAAAGGCTAAAAAAAATATACAATCGACTGATTTGCATTTTCCCTGGGGGAGAAGGCGTTTAAAAAAAACGCGGCGGTCGAAAATATACGCGGAAAAAAAAAAGAAAAAAGGACGCGAAACGCTCGCGATGGCGATCGAAACGCACGACCCATCTTGAGAGACATCACATAAACAATTATTCTTATTGGATTATTATTCCGGCTTGATATATCTTCCATGTTAGATGCCTCAAGATACCGTTTTCTTTTTCGTATTAATCATTTGAAGTGTGATATACATACACAAGCCGGAATAATTCCATCCTTTCTACACGTAGTCATTATTAATCGATATCTAATGTCGACGATTAATTGTACGCTTGGCGGGAATGACGAACATCATTTTATATTAAGAAACTCGGTAGAGTCTCGCGCCAAATATTTAATATTCCGGTGAGACGCGCAGATCGACATCTATCCACATTTACGGAAATATTAAGTCGGTTTTGTATCTAATTTTAAGGCGGTGCGAAAGTCGCGTCGAAGAGGTCTCGCTTATGACACTTTTCTCCGAACTGGGTGTACCGAATTCTTTCAAACTTGACATTGTGAATGCGGAGGCCATAAGGAAGGTCTTGACACCGATAAGATTTGCATTTTTAAAAAATTGGTTTGTATACATTTTCAAAATTTTAAATAAAAAATCAATTTTCATAACTGATAGGACCTTCTTTATGGCCTCCATGTTCACGTTGTAAAGTTTGAAACGATTTGGTACTCTCAATTTGGAGAAAAGAGTCATAAACAATTGAGCTTTCGGATGCCACTTTCACATCCCCTTAAGGAGTGTTTCGATAATAAGGAATATAGTATTTAAACAAAAATTGTATTGTGTATTAGATTTAAATTTCCGCAGAGATACCGGATGTTCTGTCTCAACGCGGATACTGATAAGACTTATGATTATCGATTGTCTATGATAAATTAATGCGTGTTTTTCTTCTCGTAGCTGTAACGAGTGTTATGTTTTACCTAATTAAGGCGATGTGAAAGGGTCATTCTATGTAACAAACCGTCGAAATATAAAGCTTTTCTCCAAACTGGGTGCACCGAATCATTTGAAACATTAACACGTGATTATGAAGGCCCTAAGGAAGAACCCGATGCTCGTGGAATTTCATTTTTCATAAAAAAGTGTGATCCTGGTTCTAGTCTACGCTAAATAAAAAAAAATTTCTTTATAAAAAGTGAAATTTCATGAGCATTGCATTCTTCTTTAAGGCCTATTTAATCACGTGTTAAAGTTCCAAATGATTCGGTGCACCCAGTTTGGAGAAATGTTTTATAAATATTTTCACGTTTCATGTATACATAATGTCCCTTCCATATCACCTTAATATTATCGCGAGTCAAATTATGCGTAACGGAATGTAGAATTTAAGTGGTATAGTGGTTGGTCTTTATTTTTATTTATTTTTTTTCCTTTCTTACGACCACCCCGATTTTTCTATATCTACCCATTGAGTATACCAGAATGTGTGTGTGTGTGTGCGTGTATGTACCATATACTTTAACGGAAGCGAACCAATGAAATTACAAGACTGCTCTTATCACGGAGACCAGGGTCCCCGGAATTAGAATTGTAGGAAATCGTGTACCGTAGAGTGCCTTCGAACACTGTAATGTACACACGCTTTTACATCCTTATCATATCTTAGCCTGAAAGATGTATTAATTAATTTCCATGTGTAAACGGTGAAATAAACGGTGCGAGTTTAACAAAAAAAATGATGTCATGGGATAGGTCCAAAAGCTGGGAATAATTAATTTTTATAATAAATTTATATTAAATTTCAGTCTCTGTTTCCACTGTTAAGGGGGATGCAAAAAGGTCGTTCTACATATGAAAATGGAAAATATTTATGAAACTTTATTTAGCTTAGACTAGAACTAGAAAATTGTTAAAAAAAATAGATGCGCGTTTTGGGAATATGAAGGGTCTGAATTTCTTTTTTTTTTTTTCTTTTGTGAAAGCGTGTGGTACATGTCGATTCAATTAATCGTTACATTAATGGTCTCGAATGCGGACCTAGCTTTTAAGGAGTTTTTATACCCACGTCCCAAAGATGCCCAACTTGCGAGGATTTCTCGTCGCCTTATCAGCACTATCAAATAAACGCATTTTAAATAGCCCAGAAGCCGAGGAGCACTCATTCGGGGAGATTTTTGGCGGCCAGGAAGTACCGAAACTTTGCCCAGCCTTGTTAACGTGTACATGTACTTGTTCGTAATGTATGTACTTCCGGGTACAAGTACCGAATTGTCGCCAAAAAACTTCTTCGCTTTTTGCTGGATGCGCACCAAAAGTTACCATCTATCCTCCTCCTATCCCGGCGTCGCTTCCGCTTCTCTGTTACATTTAATAATTAATTATTAATTATTAATATCGTCTCGAGTACAAACTCTTTAATGCACCTCGCCCGCTAAATTTATTCACGCTGCATTGGTTCATCGAGAAAAATTAACCGTAATCGCGTCAATCTACAAAGGAAATACAATTGTTATTATTTAGGCACATGATTAAAATCCGCGGATCGTCCTTTCGCTCTTGCGTACCTTAATTGTAAAATTAAAAGCATTTTAGGTCATTCACGTCGGTAGGAAATGCTTTGGTGACGTAGATTGGAGTTCCCTCATTTTCCGCGAGTGGCGCTAGCGTCGTTAAGATCGGCGAAATTCTGAGATCCTGGGTCCCGATTTTGGGGCCACTTTCCGTGGAACCGACCATTGAGGTTATGTCTCCTTATACTGCTTCATGGTTTGTTTCTTGTATAAGTCGGAGAGAGAGGGAGGGAGAGAGAAGCGGCACGAAACTGAGACTCGGGAATTATTCTGCAAAGGAATTCCTAATGAGGGATTAGAGCGACTGTTAGGAATGTAGATGCGCACTGGTGACGGCGAGATAACACAATTAACACGTTTTTGTTTGGTAAGCGTTTTTTTTTCTCCTCACTCTTTTGTTTTTATCTCACTTGGCTTGCAAGGATGCTGTCGGGCTGGGCGGATATGCGCGGATTTATAATCGACCTTTGCGGATTTCAGGGCGGAGGCGGATTGGTCCAGCAGCTTAGGAAGAGCTACAGTCTGAGCGATTTAACCGGCGAAAAGGAAGACGAGAATAGAAACATGTCCAATTCGCGAGACGAGACGGACTTGCAAGGTTCGTTGTAATTCCACAATGATGCATACAATTTGTGCACTTCGGTTGTTTCACCTCTCAACTCTAGATATGAATTTCATTTAAATTTTCCCGCCCCCTGGCAAAGTAATTCTCCTAGCGGATGTTTTTAGAATCATTCTACGTATATAATATTGGCTAAGGTGATACGAAAGAACTTAGAATGAAATAAGATTTTCCTCCAAACCGGGTGCTCCGAATTTCAGTTGTATAAACATTTTCTTAGATATTTTTAACATTTTGTATAAATAATGAAATTTCATGGGCGAAGAGACCTTCCTTATAGCCTTCGCATTAGGGTTGTAGGGTTTGAAACGATTCGGTGCCCCCAGTTCGGAGAAATGTTTCATAAACGAGACCTCTTTGACATCGCCTTAAGCAAGAGGGAAATGTTGAGGAATGTTTTTCATCTAATTTCGCAATTTTCCAGTGGAACCTCGTCGAAGGGAAAACGTGGGCAGAAGGGGGTACAGTCCCCGGAGAACTCAGTCGAGCAGCAACCGGGTCGAGATGTACTTTTCAGAAGTAGACGTCGACGTGAGGCAACCAAGGCCTAGGGAGCCAATTACTAGCTTAAGGTGAGATTTTCCATTCTGACCTCCTCTCATCATGTGATCATTTTGACATAATTCCCTATGAACGTTTTCGTCAGTGTTAGTGAGTCATTATAATATTTTTTTACCGACATTTCAATTGAAATAAAACGGGGTTTTATCACCAACGCTCGTGGCGGCCATTTTTCGAAGTAAAATCCTGGAAAAGATGAAACGTAACGAAAAAACGTTAGGCATTGGAATGTATCCCCTCTCTCTTTCCCGCATTCCAAGCCTGTGACGTCATCTATCCCGTACGGCGCGTATATAATAGGATATGGCGGGCGGGCGGGTGGGCGTCGTCATAGCAACGCGGCGACATACCGCTACCCACACCGACCCGAGCGAACCTGTATTAGTCTTCTTCCGTAGTGCGCGAGTGTGTATATTAGAGAGTGCTGAGTACTATTTTGCATCGACTTTCGCGTGCATATTGGTGAATATATCAGGCTGTATATACATATGCAATGGAAAGTAATGTAAGTGAAAGTGAAAAGGAAATAAACCCGATAAGTTGCGAAGCTGGACCTTTCAATTTGGGAATAGAAGCTCCGTCTTTACTTGCTGAAGGTCAAATTGCTACTTAGGTCGTGTGTCCGGCGACGCACGCATTGTTTTTTTTAAACAGGGTCAATGGAATAAGACGTAACAATTCAGGCTTAGGTATTTATTTATTTTTTATTCTTTATTACAGTAACATTAGGTCATCGGACGACATATCCAGCGGCTACAGCAGCGGTGAAGCTTTGCAGACGCATCGAGGGACGTCACAAGCTGAAAGCCTCGTCAGGACGTCGAGCGTCGGCGCCAGGACGCGCACCAAGCCACGCTCTACTACGAAGAAGACGCCAGAGGTTGGTACCCCCGACATACCCCAAAAAGTGACGAATTTTTTTTTTTTTACCTAGACCCTGCAGACCCTCCATTGCCCTTTTATTAACTACCTGGATGGCGTGTAACATCGTTTGCAAAGTCAGAGATTCGTATCGTACCTCCTCGGTACAACTATGTTTACACTGGGAGGTTGATAAAACCACGTATTTAGTTCGTGCATTAAGTATTCCGTGAAAACTAAGCCTACGGTTTTTTTGTCCACCTTAAGCGGTTCCAAAATGGCGGCCGCGAGGATTCGTTCAGAAAATTGCATCATGTATATATAAATATGGGATGATCAAGCAGTGCAATGGATGGCAATTTTTCTTGCTGTTTAACTACGAGAAGACCTATTTATATGTTAATGGGAAATTTCATTTCTTATAAGGTGGACATTATTTATGATCCATTAGATTGAATGTGTTGCACGTTACACAGGTAGCGATTTCCCTTGTCTTCTACCGGGGGTCGAAATGGCATTAACAAAAAAAAATGAAATTTCCCTTACTTTTCTTTTCGTTTTATTTACCTCGATTAAAGGTAAGAAAAAAAAGAATCTATGTAAGTGCTCTGATACCTGAAGAGAGTAAAGAACCCTTAGCCTTCGACCCCCGTGAAGTCGCCCTTCAGCCTGTTATCTTTTCCCCCGATTTACCGGTTCCATTCCTGATTTCCGGGATTCAAAGGACGTGGAGGAGGACGTGGGGTATATCGTCGAAGTCCCGCCTCTCGATCGGATCCCGCTTTCGGGTATCGAGCACTTAGTGAGCGCTGATCAGGCCCTCGACCTGATCTCGAGGCTCTCCCAAGTCCTGGACCCCGAGACTTTATCCAGGTACGGACTTAGAGAGAGCACTTCGAGCTTTATCCCCGACCCTGAAGCGGATTTCGAGGCCCCAGGGTCGAAGATCCAAGAAACAGGGGGTCAAGAGGAGAGGCCAGCTTCCCTGGAGCCGCTCATCAGCTGTGATCATCAACAGAACCAGCATCCTCTTCAAGGTCGAGGTTTGATCCCTGAAGAGCCAACAGGTGCGGGGAACTCGAGGTCGAGGTCGAGGAGTGGTGAGAATCCAGAAAATGCAGAAACTCCAGGAAGCACCTCCACCCCCTGCGACCGGCTCCCAGACCCCAGGGGTAATCCGTGTTTTAATCCGACTGAGGATGTTGCATGCAAAGATTTAAGATGTTACGAAGACGCACTTCAGGAAGGGGAGTCTAACTTGCAGTTCGTCGTCGAGGAAATCCCGTACGAGAAAGTGGACCTTGAAGAGAAGCCGAAGATGGAGGACGAAGAGCTAGCTGCAGGGAGGGGAGTTGATAAGGAGCCGGCCGGTGATAAGATTCTTTCTGGGGAAGTTTTAGATCACCAGGAAGCTGGGGCGGATTCGGGATTTGTCGCTGGAGTACTTGCATGTCAAGGAACTAACATTGAAGAGACACTTCAGATGGAAGGGCGACACCTAGATCAAGATTTAGATGATAATGGGGCTAATAGTATTAATATCGACGAAGGGAAGGGTGAAGAGGATGCTTATGTCCAGGCTGAAGAGGATGTGATGGGTGAAGGTAAAATTGAACTTGCGGAGAATTTCCTGGAGCAGGAAAAAGTTCGTGAAGGTGAAGGCTCCGTGGATTTTGGGAACCCTGAAGAGAGGATGGCTGCAAATCCGGAGCCCAAGGTCAGTGCTGGAAGGATCACAGATGAGATTTGTCAAAATAGGTTCGATGAGCTGAAACATCTGTTGGAGACCGCTCACAAGACTATGGCAAGTATAGTTTCCTCCCAGGAGACGTTGGAAGTGGTCGGGAAAAAGGGGAGCGCCGAGAAGATTTCCAGCGAGGGGGAGAACCCTTTTTCTTCGCAGGAGGTCGAAGGGGGTTTCTTCAGCTCTTCAAGGAGTCATGGGAACGTGTCGACCCTGGAGATCAGTCCAGGAGTATCGCGCAGCAACTCGGACAGTGCTGGAAGAGCTGGGAGGTATAACAAAAGACCAGCTCCAAAAGCGCCTGACGTAGAAAGTCACGACGACCCTGAAGAGGTCGAGCCGGAGAAGGCTGTGAAAGCCACCCTGATCATCAAAACCGGGACCGTGAAGACCTTTGGAGCCGAGGACACCTCGAAAGAGGTCTTCCTGGCCGACTCTTCAGGGTCCAGTAACAGGAAAAGCAGGAAATCCCGAGGCAAGGAAGGCTTCTCGAAGCTGCTGACCATCCCGAAGAACATATTCCACAACGCCTTCCACAAGGAGCAGAAAAGTTCCACCAAGGACGAGGACCTTAATCCTTTCGAAGGGGGTTCTTCTAGGTCCAGGTCGCCCAGTACTGGGTCTCCAGCTTCCAGCAAGCTAGCGGAACCTGGAAGCAAGTTCCTGAAGAAGGTCGACGACGTCCAGAATGTCCTTTTGAAGGCTGCCATGGTCGATGCAGATTCTGAGACTTATGTCGACCTTAGAGCCGAGTGCATCGACCCTGAAGCGACTACTTCGGACGACTCGAAGAGCGAAGAACTGGATAAAACTGTGTATGAAAGAGCGGAGTATGAAAAGATGCTCGCCGAGGGGAGAGGAAAAAGTGGGAAAAGCAAAATGCAGATCAGACAGATGTCGAGGTCGCCGACTCGGAGTGCCAGAAAAACTTTTTTCGACCTCTAGGACTCTCGTGAGATGTTCTTCAGCCTCTTCCCGATCCAACGTAGATAGATATCTTCAGTAGGCATTGTTGAAGAACCTCAACATTGCATTGTAAACATTATTCATGATGCATTAACGAAGCAAGGATGTATGTAGATTTATGTCAAAAACTGTTTTTATACGCCGTAGTCGCTCTTCGGCATCGAGATGAATTTTGGGAACCAATCCTCGCAGAATGTTAAACACGTGTAAAGTGCATCTACATTATTGCACGGATTCTGTCGCATACTCTTGTAATTACTTATGTATAATTGCGAAGTTTATTTTAAACGATCTTAGCATCTCGAGTTCATTAACGCTGCGTCTCTTTACTCTAAACATGTACATATACTTCATGTTTACATCGCATAATCATGATAAATAATTATGAAAGACAACACGAAAAGGATCGATTTTAGATTTCGAAGACAATCCCGATCGCTACGCCCGTTAATGGAAGATCTTTATGAATGAAGATGTCACGAGATATGCAAATGAAAGATGAAGAGTCGCTAAAAGATCGAGATGTCGATCTAGGAAGACCAGAAGATCAATTAGGATCGATCGGAGACCGTACGGAAATATTTTCTCGAGTGCTGGATGATCCGCTTCTACCCTTTCATTGTAAACAGATCCTGCGCTGAACTTTCTATACTAACACGGAATTGTATTTTATAATAACAATTTGTTTGCGATTGAGATGTTTATGCGCACTTGCGGGGCCAATTTGCAGGAACATTGTTAATCGTACGGAGGTGTTCCAGATTTTCAACACGCTTAGAGATTATTTCTGCACGGAGGAAAGAGAAGTGTCATGAACCAAGGAAATACTCTGTCAATTCAAAGAATAATTATTTAACGTAATTAAACTCGAATAAATCGGACGCAACGTTTATCCGGAATTCTGACAATCATATTATAGTCGATTTATTCTCGGCATCATTAAAATATTTCTTTGGTTTAGTGACATTGTTTTTTTTCTTTGTGTGGGTTCCGCGGAATCATGGATGATCCCTTTCCGGCGAGTTCCTTTTCTTTCTTTTTTTTTTTTTCTTCTGCCGTGCTTTGAGGCGTGCCGAGAGAGAGATAGAGACCCAATAAGGCCAGGTCGGATCGAGTTGTTTAACAAAATCCTTTGTTCCCAGATAACCAGCTTCGCCACCTTGCCGCGCAGCAAAAAGCCGAGTAAGAAGAAGGTGCCATGAAACTCGGGGATTGCTGACCGTATAAAGGAGTAGGACCAAGCCCGTGGTCTCCGAATCGAGCCGAGTTTTTACGACGTCCATCACCCATAAACCTGCGAGATCCTCGATCAAGGTGACCATCCTGATGGGCCATGGTCAGCAGCGTCGACCACTTGGACTATCTCGCCGGCCAAACACCCAATAAATGTGCCCAGATAGCCGCAGCTTCATTATTTAACGCGATACGTCGCTCGTTCCACTGTTGGATAAAATAGATGAATTAGTATCTGGATACTACGGAATTCTCGATATAAACGCGAAGAAATTACTTCTGCGTTGCTGGGTTATCAGTTATCAGGAGTAAACTTCTAATAAGTGTGCCCAGATGGCGGCAGCTTCATTATTTAACTTGGTTAACTTAACCATTGCTTGTTCCACTATGGGGAGATGTGCTGGATAGTGTTGCTGGGTTATCAGTTATCATGAGCTAAACTTCTAATAAATGTGCCCAGATGGCGGCAGCTTCATTATTTAACTTGGTTAACCATTGCTTGTTCTACTATGGGGAGATGTGCTGGATAGTGTTGCTGGATTATCAGTTATCATGAGCTAAACTTCTAATAAATGTGCCCAGATGGCGGTAGCTTCATTATTTAACTTGGTTAACCATTGCTTATTCCACTATGGGGAGATGTGCTGGATAGTGTTGCTGGATTATCAGTTATTAGAAGCTAAACTTGTAATAAATGTGCCCAAATGACCGCAGCTTCATTATTTAACTTTGTTAAACATTGCTTGTTCTACTATGGGGAGATGTGCTGGATAGTATTGCTGGATTATCAGTTATTAGAAGCTAAACTTCTAATAAATGTGCCCAGATGGCGGTAGCTTTATTATTTAACTTGGTTAACCATTGCTTGTTCCACGATTGGATAAAATGGATGAACTAGTATCTGGATACTGCGTAATTCTCGGTATAAACGTGAAGAAATTGTATCTGTTATCATTGTTAGCAGAAAATGCGCTGCTGTGTTATCAGTTATCAGGGATGCGTACAGCAAGGGTCTGTTATAACGCGGAGAAGGGCAATGATATTTTCAAGGCGGTTTTGTCACTCACTTTGCAAATGCAAATGCGGGAAACTTTATAAAAAAGGATCTGAAATTGCGTGTATGACCATACTCATAGAATTACAGCAATGCTCTCTTTAACAGATGTTTTCTCATCGTTTAATTATGATTTATTCACTGTCGATTATTGTCTACAATTAATTCGCCAAAATTGTAATGGTAATCTAAGTAGGAACATTTTTTGGACTTAAGTAATTGAGTTTTCCTTAGCTCGCAACTGATAATTACATTTCATTATGCGCGATTAAAGCGAGACAATTTGCGAAGCGACATATTTTAGAGCTTTCATATCATTTAATTGTAATCTCGTTTGCGAATATATCAGCAGTGAATTATTATCCACAAATAAGTCGAGAAATTTATAAGGACAATTTTCCTGCTAGATTGTTTATATTTATAGGCACACATACAAAGCTGTCATACAGCGAAACGATGGCGCAGCTTACATAGTTTATTTATTAATTATGAACACACGTGCTATCGCAATAACTTCCAAGCAGCCTCAAGATTAAAATCTCGCATCGTGTTATACCGGACTTCTAGTTGGTTATTAATTTTATACGATTAGGAATTAATAACAGAGCTGTGCAACGCTAATCACGGTCTCGCGCATGGCAGGATCAATTCCTGAATTTTTTATTACACAGCCAGTTGTATGCATTGTTTATACGGCGCTGTTATAACAATTTATCGAGACCATGTGTATTAACAAGAGAGGAAAAAATGTAAATCGACTTCCTAGGGATTTTTGCCAGTGCTGGTAATAACGAGGCCGTATAAATAAGGCTAAAGATAGACATTTCTGTGAACTCTTCCGATTTTTAAGGACTTAGACAAAGGATGAGGTCGTCCTATTAAGGGGATGCGAAAGTGACATCTGAGAAGTCAATCATTTATCCAACTTTTCTCCAAACTGGGTGTATCGAATCGCTTCAAACTTTACAACGTGAATATGCAGGCTATAAGGAAGGTCCTAACGACCATGAAATTTCATATTTTATAATAAATTTTTTTAATGCCTATAAACAAATTGAAAAAAAAATGAAATCTCACGGGTGTCAAAACGTTCCTTAGGGCCTCTATATTTATGTGGTAAAGTTTGAGACGATTTGGTATGTCCAGTTCGGAGAAAAGTTGCATAAAAGAGATTTCTCGGACGCCACTTTCGTCTCGCCTTAAACTATCAGTTGTAGCCTATCACGCGGTTATCTGCGTCTTATCGTTTCCTGTTCAATACTTTTACCGGGGCGGCCAAAGGAGCGATCGCCATTTGATTATAAATAAATAATTGTACATGGAGAAGTTAGAGATAAGGAGATCTGATAATGTATTATCGTAGCAGAGATTGGGCGCCTTAAGGCCTGGGTCTCGTTCGGTCCATTGACTCATCAGATTGTCTAGAAGGTCATTGCGGGTTTTGCTGGTTAAGATTATGCTTCGCTTTTCAAACAGAGTCGTCTCTCCTTTTTTGCCCATGTCATATATTACTTTAAGGCGGCATGAAAGTGGCATAATCGTTCATTAAACTTTTCTGCAAACTGGGTGTACGGAATTGTTTAAAATTTTCCCACACGAATGTAACGGTCCTAAGGAAGGTCTTGACACTCGTGATATTCCACTTTTTAAACAAAAGGGGTAGAAGTGCTTACAAACAAATTATGAAAAAAATTAAATTCCACCGTTGTCAGGGCCTCACTTTACTTTCGTATCACCTTAAGGTGATAATGGCGACTGAAGGGTCTCGTTTATGAACGTCATTTAAAAATGAAGCGACAAATCATTAACAGGAAAAATCGCAATGACTCTGGATAACTAGTAATTAACCTAGGACTATTTATTATTAGTATCGACGTGATGTTAATGATGGCCAAGTAGGACCGAGTCAATGGACTGATAACGGGAGAAAATTTCATTTCGCTGGCCATTGTTGTCATCCTGCTTGGTGATATCCTATGCTCTTTTTATAGCCTTGTGGTGGACACGAATGGCCACGAGAAAATAGCTGGTTGTGCTCGATGTGACGGAGAGGTCTCTCTTTCTCTTGTGATACGTGAAAAGTTGTTCCGAGTGGTACACTTAAGGTCCAAATGGCGAGATCCTAGAGAACCCAGGTCACAGGACCTGAAACCGGGAATAAGGATCACTAGATGATGACTGTTTATAGCGATGAATGTCCGAGTGTTATAATGTTCCGAAACTCGTGCTGGGCTCTCGATGATGAATCATGACGTGCCAGACCTTCCTCTTTTAACTCGTCTTTCTATTTAGTGACTTAAGAGGTTATATCCAGTTGTCATAGGCGAAATTTCCAAAATTTTTCTTCATAACTGAAATGCATTTTCTTTAATCGAAAACAGAGCGTAACTTCATAGTACAATTATTAACTTCGTTCGTTTAGCAGTCGCATGAGAAACAATTCTTTAATTTCGTCTATGACTGCATATAACCCCTTAAAGGTGACGTGAAGTGACGTCAGAGGTCTCATTTATGAAATTTTTCTCCTAACTGGGAGTACCGAATTGTTTCAAACTGTACAATGTGAATGTTGAGAGTATAAGGAAGGTCCTGACGCCCATAGAATTTCAATTTTTACAAAATTTATTTATAGGTACTTTCAAAATTATTTATAAAAAATGAAATTTCACGAGTGTCTCGACCTTCCTTATAGCCTCCATGTTCATGTTGTAAAGTGTGATCCGGTTCGTAGGAAAAATCATGAAAGAGTGAAGTTTCATGAAAGATTGAGCTTTCCGATGCCACTTTGACATCCCCTTAAACTCGTTCCCTAATTTTTGTCCTTTGCGCGGACGAGAACGAGATGGAGGAGAGCACAATTTATTATTACAACTCCGTGTATAGAGTTTACGAATTCGTTTTAAAGGCGCTAAATGCGTGTTGTAGAATAGTTTATTGTTATGAAGCGATCCTCCGATGTGGTATGAAATTGCCATGAATGGATATGAAAATGCCATCTGAGGGATCATATGCCACTTTCATATCACTTTAAAGCACGTACGGAATGATAAAAAAAAAAATGAGAGCGTTTTACGTAGCTGCGAAGACATAATGTATGTGTGCACACACCAGTAATCAAATGCGATCTCACCGAGACGCTAATTAGTCGACATTGATACGTATCACTAATCAGTAGCCTGTTTAACTGTTTTGAGTATAAGCACGTCACGCATGAAGAGGATTACTTTTTCTATTGTATTCGCAGTCTAGTTAATCGTAAGGCCCCCAGAAATTGTGGCTTACTATATACTAATTGGAAATTCGAAATGGCTATTTCATGGTTAAGACCTTTAAGGCCTTCATATTCATGAGGAAATGTTTTAAAGAATTCGTTGCATCTAGTTCGACGAAATGTTTTGTAATAAATTCATGCTTCGGAGGCCTTTCACCTTGCCAAGCTAGAAGTAGATGACAAAAATGTTCCAAAAATTGCCTACTGCAATGTGTAAATCGTTTTATGCACTAAGTAGTATAAGGAGATACACCCACTTTAGTGTTCGAAGATCTTCAGATTTTTTCCGACTCTAGTACTGAGAGCGCCTTGATGAAATTTGGCAATTAATAATTATCATTTACTAGCAGGTCCGCTAGTCTTTATTGCGTTAAAAACGTCACATTCTGTATATCATCCGCGGATTATCGCTTCGCTTTGCGTACCTTAATTGCAAAATTAAAAGCATTTTAGGTTATTTACGGTAGTAGGAAATGTTTTGATCAAGTGGGATTGGAGTTTCCCTCGTTTTCCGCAAGTGGTGCTCGCGTCGTTAGATCAGCGACAATCTGAGATCCTGGGTCCCGGGTTTGGAGTT